TTCTAAAGCAACTTTTTAGTGTAAATTTTTTTTTTTCGTTTGAGATGGCTATCTTATTGCTTCTTAAATCAGCTTTCTAATATAAAATTTTAAAAAATATATACTAAAAAATTGATTTAAGAAGCAGTTAGGAAGTCGTCGCAAATAAAATCTTAGTTGCAACTAAAAAGGAGCGATGTCAAAGAGACAACAATGATTCATAAAGGGAAAAAAAACACAAAAAAAATGTATACATAGAATGAACAAACTTACATAATAAAAAAAAATGAATCCCTAATTGTTAGAGCAACCATCGAAGTGAAAAAGGACCCCTAATTGCCAGGCCGGCCATCTAAGAAGAAGCAGCTGATTCTTGAGGATTTGTTTGGAATAATTTTTTTACTGCTTCATAACGAAGTTTTTTAGGTAAAAAAAAATTTAAATTTTGTATTAAAAAGTTTTTTTTTAAGAAACAATAAGAAGGCCATCCCAAGCAAAGCTTGAATATCATTCAATATCGTGCAACAAAAAATTTCCAATAGGCATTCGAGTATGAACTTCACTAATGTTAATTTTGTAGCTTTACAAAACAGTAAGAAAATCGTTTCAAATAAAATCTTAATTTCTTTTATATTTAAATCAATTAAGATAAATTTACACACACACATATATATAATAGTTTCTCAAAAAGACTTAATAATAATACTCTTTCCTCAAATCAGAATGACATAAACAGAAAAATATATATTCAAATAAAAAAGATTCATACATATTAACTAAAAATTTGACTTACAAATACCGAAAATAATTTGATAATTCAAAGATACTAATGTTACATGCCTCTTAAAAATACTAAGATTTTTCATTTATGAAAATGATGGCATAAACCATATTGGAGGAGGCCAAATAGGTTGTGAACAAGGGTAAAAAAAATGTTGCAAGCACTGATTTTGAAGTTCGTAAAGACCAAAATTACGAACAACAACGTCCTTCGGTGATGTTACATCCCATTGATCAGTAAAGTATACACAATTTGGTTTAATTCCAGGAGTAACCTTGTGATGCAATGCGAATGTATGGTTACAACCTATAAATATGGAAAAACCATCCAAATCGTCGACATGGATCCATTGAGAGAATGAGCCAGAAGTAGTAACATCTGGCCCTAACTTGAAAACCGAGATCCTAGTTGTCTTTTCATAATGAATTGGTTCACCCAGATCCAATATATAACATCTAAGATTTCGTATACTAAAATATGATGTCTCTCTCTCGACTTTTAAAAGACTTCCCAATAAAAAGAAAATATAGTTCCTACAATTATAATTTATTGTGAACAGGTCTTGTATCGGTGGGCATATCATTTCAATATTTTTTCCAGTGAGATCAAAGGCTAGCACCATCGAGAAATGTGTGATTGCGTAGAACCGATGCTCTTCATTATGATAAAAAACATCTTCAAACACCTCAAGCTTGTTGGTGTCATAATAAGGCACTTGTGGACCGAGTGCCCAGGCTTGGTCATTGGGCTTTACTAAAGCCAAAAATTTCCTATAACCGTAGATGCAACAAGCAGTTCCATGCGAGTAATTAGAAGAGATGACAATTTTTCGAAAATATATTTCAGGAAACTTTTTCGCATCTGTGCTAAATTGTGGACGAATTTCATTATAAAAGGTCTCCATAGAGTCATTTGAAGTATATTCATGCCTGATCCTATGGCATTGTTCTTCGGGGATTGTGCAGAAGGATGGGAGGCATATTTCAGCCTTTGTGAGGGGGTTGAAAATGCGAGGTTGTTGATCTATTTTGTCAAGTGTCACGAGCCATCCATCCTTGGAGCCAATACATCTACGATCAGAGATGTGGTAGTCGAGAGAGCATAAAAGGTGATCGCAAAAGAGGTCATCCTCTTCTTTAATGGCAATATCACAAAAGGCGAGTGTGCCGGAGGCCTCTCCAAATTTGTTGGGAAGGATAAGTCATGGAGAGGGATGACAATCAATACCTAGGATTACTTTATTAGCAACAACATAATTCCATGAGGTGCAGACAATGGAGAAGCGAAGGAAGTCAACGCTGGGCAACTGCGATGAAATTCTACATAGGAGATCTATTGGGAGATTGGACCACGCCATATTGTGTTTTGTTTCTTCGATGCCATCAAGCCCTTATATAGATAAAAGAGGAGAAATATAGCCTAATATAGGGTGAGATGGTTTTAAAATTTCTAAATATGCCAGAGAAATATGATCTTGAGTTTTTTAAGAAAAATATAGAAATCACCTAAAATATTATTGGATCAGAGCAAAAATTGGAGGAAATGGTTATTTAATATTAAATTGATAATGAAAAAAAAAATGTGAATTTGAAGAAAAATGGAACAAATAATAGAAATCTAATTTAATATGCTTTTTGTAGAAAGTTTTTTTTAATAGAAATCTGCTAAAAATTTTTATTTACTAAGAGCATGCATGAAAAAAAAAATTATATATAATAAATAATATGTATAAAAGAATCAAATCTAAAATCTCTTTAATTAAAGATTTTAATAAAAAAACTCTCAACAAATATACTAAAAAGAGCTGCGTACAGGTCACTAAATCTAGCCAAAGAGAATAGGAACTATCAACATCAACAAACTCGAATGCTAACAGGCGTACAGTTCGGAGACCACCCAAAAAGTGCCACGTCATCTGTTACACAGCTGTGCTGAGCACCAATACCAAGTAAACAAATGATATTGCGAGTTCTAGTTAGTCTCATGATGTTGTTCGGTGTCCCCATCGAATAATTTTTTATTTTTTTTAACGCAGCTCACCTTAGCCTGTTGGTTGAGAGCTTAGGCTTCCAACTAAGAGGTTTTGAGTTCGAGTCTTTGTGTATGCGTTGTACGTGTGAGTTTAACTTAAAAAATTTTTTCGAATTGTGAGAGCTTTTCGGTACTCATGAGAGTATCATTTGAAAATAATAAAATAATAAAAATATTTATATAAAATATAGGAAGAAATAGTTTTCATTGTGGTGGCAGAGATGCCACCTCGCTAGTGCTTGATTTTTGGGATATATTTATTTATTATCATTTATTCTTGAAAAAAATTATATGTTACCTTGATGCATTTCAAGCGTGGGTCACATGCCTTCGAAACTAGTCATCTACCAAGAATTTGGATAAATTTTAAAATTATAAATTTATGAAATATTAAAAATAATATAATTTAAAATGTCTTAAAAAAACCAAATCATAATTAAAAGTGAAGCCAGTAGGTGAGATTATTATGTGCCTAGACTAGACACAAAGAATCATATAATTTTATCTCTATGAATAGTAAAAATCAGAGCCCTGCATTGGGTGCCCATACTCACACCCACCCAAGTACCCACCCATACCCAATGGGCATGGGTGGGTATGGGTATGTCCATGACCTTGTGGGTGGGTATGGGTGGGTACTCAACATCAGGGGACAAACTGATTTACATTACTACTCACCATATGCATGCATTATATTACAGTAATCCTTGCTATGTAGTGCGCAACACTGAACCGTGCTACGACCACAATAAATTTTGATTTGAAACTTGAAAGCTTGTAGTCAAAGAAAAGGGCAACAAACCTCAAGGCCATTAATCCACGGAAGATTGTATTCAAGAAGCATGGAAAGTGGGTTGGTGTTGGTGGGTATATCATACCAAAAGTCACCATAGGTGGGTATGGGTGGGCAAAGCCCGCCAGCCTAAAGCGTGGGTACCCAACCAAGACCCCATGTAGGGCTTTGGTAAAAACACAATTATTATTCGTTAGTGGGCTTTTATTGTTCACCGCTGCGCTTTTACTAATCACAAATAAAAAATCGGACGGTTCTCTGATTTAGATTATTATGTGTCCAATCTCCACACATAATAATGTCTCAGTTGACAAGCAGGCGGAGGGCTGAGTTGGTGGAGGGGTTGAGTTGGTGGAGGAGAGACTCTTAATAAGAATGGAGCTCATCTAAATCAGCTCACCTGTTGGCTCAGCAGAGCTAGTTGTTCTCTAAGATAAAGACTTACATTGTTTTTAAATTTGTTTTAATGAAATAAAAAAATTAATGATATTATTTAAAAAATTTTAACTTTTTTATTCTTATATTTTACTAAGTATCTTTATGATAATGGGATGTAGGGCTGTAAAAGAGCCGAGTCAGTTCGAGCTTGACTCGTTAACGAACTTTTAATTCGAGTCTATCGAGTCACGAGCTCGAATACTAATCGAGCACGAGTTTGAATTTGTTTAAGCTCGACTTGATTTAAATAAATTAAATATTAAAAAAATCATTTTTTTCAATTGAAATTAATATTTAAAACCCTAATGAAAGTTGATGCATACCTCAGATAGTGACAACATTAAAAACAAGTGTACATCCCACCACCATTTATTATACCAACAACTTCTTCAGAAAAAAAAAAAATAAAAATTAAAGAAGATTGAACTGACGTACATGACTTTATTGAAGAAGAAAAAATCCTGCTTTTGATTGTATATCGAGTTGAGCCATTGAGCCTGAGCTTGAATGCTCGAGCTGAGATTGAACTCATTCGCTAGGCGTGAGTGACGAGCTAAGCTCGAGTTTACTGTGACTCGAGCTAGACTGGATTACTGCTAATTAGAATGACATGCTTAATTTGTATAAATTTTTTGACATATTTACATATACACCAATATATACTACTCTATTTACACATATAACATCAAATACTTTAATATTGCATATATGTACAACTCATAATTTTGAATAAAATATATGTGCGGTGAGAATGAAACATGAGTAATATATTTGATATTAAAATAATATAAGGTGGTATGTATGTAATATTAAAATTTTAAATATTAAATATATAAATAGAATAATATAAAATAATATGTATGTAAATCCCCCATTTTTTTACCACATGGAGTGAATGGTTCTATAATTCCTGAAAAAAAAAAATAATTCCTAAAAAAAATGATGCAGGAAATAATAGCTCGCCAATAAATGTTGCCGAGCTATCGCCACCGGCCAAGGCCGTCTACTTCAGTTTCAGTAAGCCCTTATCTCTCTCTCTTCCGCCTACTCTTTTCTTTTCTACTTTTTCTACCACTCTCCAATGGCCAACATCGATGATGCCATTGCTCGCGGCAGCCTCCACATACTAATGTTTCCTTTCGTCGCTTTCGGTCACATTAGCCCCTTCCTCCAACTTTCCCGCAAGCTCTCTGCCGCCGGTGGCATCCACATCACCTTCCTATCCACTCCGGCGAACATCCCTCGCATCTCCTCCCTGCTCCCGTCCTCACCCTCCATACGCCTCCACTCCCTACCCCTCCCCGCCATCCCCGGTCTCCCCGCCGGAGCCGAGAGCACCGCCGACCTCCCCCAGCACACAGCCGAACTCCTCAAGCTCGCCGTCGACAGCATGCAGCCACAAGTCGCCGCCCTCCTCGTTGACCTCCGTCCAGATCTCGTATTCTTTGACTTCGCCCAGCCGTGGCTCCCCTCCATCGCCCACCCACTCGGTGTGAAGACGCTCTTCTTTTCTGTTTTCTCCGCCGCCGCCACCGCCTACCTCACCGTCCCTTCCCGCCGCAGCAAGCACTCCATCGCGAACATTGCGGTATTTCATTAAATTTTAGACAAAGTTTTATTTCAAAATTCGCACTAAAAGCTATAGGCTGTGCTATATCTAGAGCGAAGACCTAAGTCAAATTCCCAAGAAAAAAAGTTTAATTGTTCGGCGGCAAAGTTTTTTTTTTTTTTTTTTTAATTCATCCATATTAAAAGAATGTGAAAAGATTTCATTTTTTTATAACAGTGACTAACTAAAGATTCTTGCAGGGCGAACTCATCCGCCCTCCGGCCGCCTTCCCTGACTCCACCGCGCTCTCCGCCGGCGTCCCCGCCTACCAAGCCGCCGACTTCTCTTACATCTTCAGAAGCTCCGGCGACGCCGGCGAGCTCTCCGTCTTGGACCGCGTCCTCACTGGTCTCACCGGCTGCTCCGCCGTCGTCGCCAAGACCTGCATGGAAATGGAATCTCCCTACATCCACTACATCGAATCCCAGCTCGGCAAACCGGTCCTCCTCGCCGGCCCGGTCGTCCCCGAATCACCGGCCGGCTCGCTCGGCCTCGAGTGGACGACCTTCCTCGACCAATTCGCTGATGGCTCGGTCGTCTTCTGCTCCTTCGGCAGCGAGACAGCGCTTAGCGAAGAGGGGGTCGAGGAGCTTTTGCTCGGGCTGGAGATGGCAGGAAAGCCATTCTTGGCCGTGCTAAAGGGCGGCACCGCCGCCTTCGGAAAGGCCTCCGCCGACGGCAGCGGCGCGAGGTTGGTGAGGGAGGGATGGGCCCCGCAGCAGCTGATACTTGGTCACAGAAGCGTGGGGTGCTTTGTATGCCACGCGGGAATGAGCTCGTTGGTGGAGGCGGTGGTGTCGGGATGCAAGCTGGTGTTGTTACCGCAGAGAGGTGATCAGTACCTCAACGCCAGACTGTTCGCGGGGGATTTGGGAATTGGGGTGGAGGTGGAGAGAGAGGAAAGCGGTGGGTTTAAGAGGGAGGCGGTGAGGGATGCGGTGGTGAGGGTGATGGAGGAGGAGAAGGGGAGGGAGAGTTTTGACAAGTGGAGAGAATTTTTCATGGATGGTGAGGTGCAAAAGAAGTTCTTAGAGGAGTTTGTGGAGAAGTTGAAGGAATTGGCTTATGGTAAATCATCCAAGTGATATTATTTTGAATTAAACCGTATGCCATTTATGGATCTTATTTAGGAGTTTTTATTTTGTTCGGTTGACCGGATGCAAGAAGCATCCGGTCGTAGGAAAAAAAAAAGGCGGTACCGAGGTGTACCGAGTTTTTCAAAAAACTCGGTACACCACGGTACCGAGTTTTTTTTGCCTACGACCGGATGCTTCTCTGCATCCGGTCGGAGGACGTAATAATTGTTCCTTATTTAGGGGGTGTAATCAAATAAATGCAACGAGGTGCAAGAGAGGTTCTTAGGAGGGGGTTTGTAGGGGAAGTTGTAAGAGTTGGCTTATAAATAAATTGATCAATGTGAGATTGTTCTGAGGAAAATTCTAAGTTATGTGAAGGTCTTGTTTTGAGTTTTTAATGTAACGAATGTTTTCGTTTATATTTTATTATTTTTGTTTAGTTGGTTGGGAGCTTATATTATCAATTAAGAAGTTTTGAATTCATAATTTGGATATGTGATATGTGCGTGAATTTGTGTTAAATTCACTCAAAAGTCTGTAAAAAAATATTTTATTTAAATAATTTGATAAAACAAAATAAAGTTATAAAATTTTATAATGATTAATGATTAGTTTTAAAAATTGATTTATTTATTAGTTTATATTTGGGAATAAGCTCTTTTGATAATTAATAAATGGGTCATTTTCCTAGGCAACTAATCTGGCTTTGAAGCGAGCCACAGATCTATCAGAGAGGTGTTTGGTTCGATATGTTCACTTGCACCTGAGATAGAGGCATTTGGAGGTGGGGTTACGAGCATCCACGTGCCCTGTTATTGTAAGTCAAAGAACTCGGCTTCCATGACTTTTCTCAGTTCAATGCATTTAATTACATCAGAGTATGTAGTGGGATCAAATGGAGGAATTAACCATGTTTGCATATGGAGAAGGTTGAATTGAGTGCGAGGCTTTAGCGATCTCCTTTGCAGTCTGGTAATCATGTGATGATAGATATGAGGTTCAGATGGATCCATAGGAATTAGTGGTGAATGGTTAAAAGATGGAGATGCAGTAGTGGGTGGCTGTGTAGGTATAGGTAATGTATCTGGTGATGTGGAGTGGGAAATAGGAATGTCTGGTATTGCGGTGTGGGTAATTTGAGTTATCTGAGTTATAGATGTAGGAGTAAGTAGGAAATGTGATATAGGTGTGGAAGAGGTTTGTAGGGACATAGTTGTTCAATGAAATGGAAATGAATGTTCGACAAATATAACATGTTAGAACATGTGAATGTGGTTGGTAGCAAGATCCATACATTTGTATCATTTGTAGGAATCTGAATATCCCATGAAAAAATAAGATGTAGATTTAGTTGCTAGTTTGTGTCGAATATGGGGAGGAGTTAATGGGAAGCATTTGCACCCAAAGGTGCATAGGTGGGAATATGAAGGTTGAATGTTGTAGAGAAGTTGAAGTGGAGAAACATTATTAGTAGTGGTGGATGGAATTTGGTTGATGAGATAGGTAGCCGTTAGAACAACGTTGGGCCAGTAACAATATGGGATTGATGCGATATGAAGTAGGATGCGAGTAGTGTCTAGGATGTGTCTATGCTTGCGTTCAACTAATCCATTATGTTCATGAGTATTTGGGCACCAGATCTGTTAATGAATACCATTGCTTTAGAAAATGAATGAGTTGGTCGTTGAGGTATTCCTTTCCACCATCGGTTCAGAGACATTTAATTTTGTAGGAGGTTTGCTTTTTTACTAGAGTTTTAAAGTTGATGAAGAAGTTAATGGCATCATATTTGTTTTTCATTGGAAATAACCAAGTGAATCAGGAAAAATCATCGACAAAAGAAATATAATACTTGTATCCTTGATTAGAAGTAATGGTGTATGTTGCCTATTTTTGGATTTATCAAAAAACTAATTTGTGGCCTTTGGAGGCGCTACATGAGACACATATTGATGAAAAACTAGGTATGTGGAGTTGAGGGTTGCTATTAGATATGGTAGCGAGAACTCGTCGGTGAGGATGACCGAGATGATTATGCCAAATGGTGGAAGTAGAGCTGATGGTTGTGAATGCTGATTTGTTTTTCCAGGAACTCAGGAAGAGAGTGGGTGATTGGATACAACCCATCATGACAAGGTCCCTTGAGTATAGTTCGATTTGTCTTCAGTTCCTTTAAGATAAAGCCTAAGGAGTAAAATGTGATTGAAATACTGTTGTCTTTGGTTAGATTAGAGATAGAAATAAGATTGTGTGTTATAGCCAGTATATGTAGTTGGTGAGAGAGATGGAGCTTACGTGACGGGGTTTGTAAGAGTCTTGCACCAGAGTGTGCTATGTGAATCGAGCGGCCATCTCTGATTGTAATCTTATCGGTTTCTTGATATGGATTGGATTAGAAAAGATTGTCAAGAGAATGTGTGACTGGGACGAAGCACCAAAGTCAAGATACCAGTCAGTTGAGGGTGGATTTGAGAAAGCTAGAAGGGCTTTGTTAGCTGCTGATGGTGATTGTGGAATATAATGCACATTCAATCAGTGCCAGCAGACTGAAGCAGAGTGTCCCTTATTGTTACATATTTGGAAGATAGATGCTGGACATGGTGGGGGTTTGGTGTTAGTATTAGTGTTTTGGATAAATCTGCCTCGACTTCTTCTATTTCGGCATCTATACGAATAAACATTTATGTGGATCTTTGGCAGGAGAAACCCATGCTGCTTCTGTCGTAATATTAATTACCTCACTTATGAGTAGGGAATAGAGATTGTTAAGACTTATAGGTGTGAGCATAGTTCTTATTGAGGTTTTGAAAGCTTGATATGGGTAGGGGTGTCAATTTTGGGTAATAGGTCGGGTTTGAGTCGAACCCGAAACTAACCCGGCACTATTCGAGTCAACCCGAACTTATCCAATTTTTGCAAACGGGTAGGTTTTCCGAACCCAAACCTGACCTGCTTCGGGTTCGGGTCAACCCCGACCCGACCCGAATGACCTAGTGTCAATAAAAAATTGCTAGTTTTCTTGTCCAAAAACAGGTTAATCTCTGCTTTTCGGATCAAAATGGGTAAATATCGGGATGCCGGGTCAAAATGAGTTTTTGGGTAAATAACGGGTTAATTTTTGGTCAAACCCGAACCCGACCCGATTTTTGAAATGGGTCGAATTGTTGAACCCGACCTGTTTCGGGTTCGGGTCAACACAAACCCGAAATTTTCGGGCTAGATTTTCGGAATGGGTTCAATATTGGCACCCCTAGATATGAGGTTGGAAGATCGTTTAGAGTGTAGAGGATAATGTCCTCTATATCAATTGTATATCCAGCAGCTACTATTTAATCTACTAATGTTTTGATATCAGTTAAATATTTGGTCATGGTTAGATTTTTCATTGATATATTATGAAGCACATTCTTGAGCTGAATAAACTTAAAGTTATTAGTGGACTGAAATTGGTGCTCAAGGGTAGTCCAGATACAAAGGTAGATTCAAGGTGAAGGATATAAGGTAATACATATGGGGTGATAGTGAAACATAATGCCACAACTAAATTTTGGCAGTGAATAACCATTGTGTATAGGAGGGATTAGGAATGGTAGTATCGTCTGGTTATTGATAAAGACTATGAGGAGGTGTGGAGGTGGATTCCATAAAGCTTGAGAAATCTTTGCATGAAGAATTTTGCTGACTTGAGAATGCCTTAGGGAGTAGTTATCAGCAGACAACTCTGTGGGTACGATGCTCTTAAAGTTGGAGACAACAAATTTCAGGGATGAAGGGATGCTTAAGGTCTCAGTAAAGACATTTAATTTACAGAGGTTTCCCAATCTGAGATGTGGCGGAGTTTGCCATGATAAATCTACTAAATCACGAAAACAGAAGTAATTAAGGCTGAGTAATAAGACAGTAGAATTGGGTGAAAGTACATGTGTTTGGTATAACAAATGGCTATGATTTACTGTGGCTTGTGGTTTGTCAGATATAATTGAATGGGAAAATAGTGAGCCATTTCGGTCTCCTAAGTTGCCACGTCTAGCAGAGATATTCTATACCGCCAGTTTAACCGACAATAAAAAATCTGTTCATAATTATTTTAATTCATTTTTGTTGAGCAAAACCAATTTGCTTTTATCCGTCAGTGTCAGATCAGCAGCGAGAACGTACGGTGGATGTTTGTTTGTTGGTTTCTGAGACGTTTTGCTCATCAACTAACCTAAGAATTTATTGCACCCGCAGCAACTTGGAAGGCTTGGCGGTGACTTCAATTTTCTTTACGTTTTTCTTAATATATATATATATATATATTTCACGACTTCCAGAAAGAGAGGTTTAATGGAGCATTTATTATGTCCTCCGACCGGATGCAGAGGAACATTTGGTTCGGTTGACCGGATGCAGAGGAACATTCGATTCTAGGCAAAAAAATGCCTGTACCGAGGTGTACCGAGTTTTTTTGAAAAACTCGGTACACCTCGGTACAGGCATTTTTTTGCCTACGACCAGATATTTCTTGCATCCGGTCAACTGAACCAAATAAAAGCGCGGTTTAATGAGCTCATAATACAAGAAAGAAGCAACAGGCTCAGATAATAAAAAAGTGGAGAAATTATTTCTTTTTGGGGGAACAAGTTTGGGATATTTTGATTCAAAGTTTTGAAATGATATTTTTATTGTTTCTTAAAATAATTTTATAGTGGTAAAAATTTAAAATTTTGCACTAAAAATTAATGAAAAAAGTGGTAATAAAGTGATCTCGAATAAAATCTCAATTTGTATTAAGCTAAACTTAGATGTCTACAGGAAAATTGTTGATTACCAACAACGATTTGCAATAATTTACCTCAATTTTTTGGGGGTTTGGAATTTTCTAGCAGTTCCGACAATTTTGAAATTTTCTACTTGATTTGAGATGAATTTCTTATTATTTTTTAAAATAAATTTTTAGTACAAAAAATTTGTTGAACTAAAAAATTCTGTAAAATTTTGTATTATAAAGCTATTTTACGAATCCTTATTTTTTTTTTTTTTGAATTTATACTACGATTAGTACTCATAGTAGTCAGTCAAAATAAAATTTATCAAATAATCATGGTGAGAATCTTTTAATACATTGTATTGTTATTGTACATAGATTAATGCTCATATATGAAATTATAAATTGTATTTTTAGCATAAATCTAAATAATCTTAAGCAATGGTGTTAATAAGTGATCAGGCCCCGCAAACCTAACTTAAATCCCACCTAAAAAATATGGTTTAAGGTTGATTTGTTTGATAAATTGGTTGGACTTAGGTTCAGAATTCTAACTCATTTATCTAAATTGGTCGAGTTTAGGTTTAGGGTTTAGGATTTAGGTGGTCTAAAGGACCATAGTTGAGTGATAGTGGTCAAAATAATCATAGTCAGTGGGCGACGGAGGTGAAAAGATCATAGTCGATGACGCTGGTCAGAAAGACCGTAGTCGATGGGTGATAGAGGTCGAAAAGATCGTAGTTGGGCGATAATGGTCAAAAGGATTGCAGTTGGGCGGCGACAGAGGTTGGAAAGTTTGTAGTCGGGCGACGGTGGTTGGAAGGGTTGTAGTCGTGTGACGGAGGTTGGGGAGACCGTAGTCGGGAGATGGTGATCAGAGTGACCATAGTCTACAGGCAACGAAGGTCGAAAAGATCATGGTCGAGTGAAAGTGGTTGGAATTAAGGATCACTTTCGGGCGACGATAGTCGAAAGAGCCGAAGCTCAACAACAATTGATGGTCGCATGAAAGTTCGGCAATAATTGGTGGCCGGTTGGTGGTCGGGCGGAAATCCGAAGAAAGTTCGACAACGGTCGGAGGTCCAAGGAGGAGATTAGTGGCAAGAGATATCTCAAATTTCTCTTCATCTCCTCTATTCTTTCATTTTCTTCCTCTCCTCCTTTCAATGAAGAATGAGGGGTCTATTTATTGTTTTCTGTTAGTGGCGTGGTTAGTAAATAGGGAGAATATCAATGTCACATTAGGAGTGGTTCAAATGGACGACTGATATCGATTCTTTTTATCATAAACCATTTATCAAATTTGGCAATCTTAGGTCCATTGGATTTATCTCGTCGAGCCGCTCAATTCAACTATAAGCATCTCACATTTTGGGATCATTTGATTATAAAATTTATTGTTTGAACCTTCTAAATATACTTCAAATCCTCGATTTGGACTCATTTGGGCTCGGATTGAGTTGAATTTAGTGTTGTTGGGTTGGTCTTTTTGAGACATTCAATTCGACAAGAAGTTTGCTGAAATCGGAGTTTGGATGGTCCCGAATTTAATTTCGGAACTTTATGACTCCAATTTGTCTTGAGATTCGTGCCCGATCAAGATTTATTTTTGATGATATATCGTGACCAAATTTTTATATCTAAAAAAAAATGTAATATTTATTTCTTAGATAAATTCAAACATAATAAAGACAGATGCTATGCAATATATGATAACTTAATAAAATTATATATATAAAATCAACATAATAATATTTAACAAAAATACATGAAAAAATTGACACTAGATAAATTTTTAAGTCCATCGAAGCAAAAATTGATCGGCATATTCCGATCAATTTTTTTTTCTAAAGCACTCAAAAGGAGAAAAAACCACCATCGGAAAAGATTATTTCATTTGTAAAATCATAAACTCAACATTATTTACAATTTAATACCAATCATTTATTAACACAATTACTAAACTTTTATAACCGCTATAAATTAGAGGTCTCAATATTTAGCACGACCCAAAAATCCGACCCAAAGGTTATGGGTCTGGGTCAACCTGTTTGGCAAACGGATCGACCCGAAAACCCGAAAGCAACGCATTAGACCAATCACACCCGTGCCCGTAGTCTTGCACACGCTCTGTGGGTCCATCATCTCACTTGTGACACTAGTGCTCGCTGCTCGCCCGTTGCACAATTTGGTTTGTAGGTTGTGTTAGAGTCGGGTTTGGATTTAAAAAATTTTAAACCATTTGAAGAAATGGATCAGGTTTGGGTCGGATGTGTTAAGATCAGGTCAAAGAGTTTGAGGAAAACCTACTTTGACATCTCTACTATAAATAGAACAAATTTTGTTAAATTTGTAAGGAGGTCCTGTTCTTAATTGGGTGATCAGAACATCAAAATTCTCACTATAAATAGTAAACTCATTGATTCACCTCCGTTAAATCCCCAAAACGCCAAAAACTCCTACGTTATCAAAACTAATAATGGCCATGAAAGCCTCAGAGAAGGAAAATTGCACAAAGCTGGCGGCCATGGCTCTCGTGAGCCTGCTGCTTCTTTCTTGCAGCCATTATTGCAATGCCGAAGCTTCAGTCCGCTATACAATATATCTTTCTCCGAGCCAGGAAAACAAAGCCTTGGAAATGGAAGAGAATGGCCATCACCTGGGAGTTTTCGGAACCGCGGCTGCCATAAGATCTTCTACTGCTAGGGCGGCGAACGGTAGCTGGCCGGAGAGAAGCATCGCCGGCGCCACCTATTAACATTAATTATATAGTTGCTATTATTGTTGTTTATGTTATTGATAATGTCGCGGTTGCTTTAATGCTTGTGATGAAATTGGGCACTATTTTGAAATAAAACTTTGTTATTGATTTATTTTTTATGTCACTTAAATAGATTTGATCAAACACGAATGGCTAACATATCTTAGGGGACAACTTTCAATTTTGAATCCGAGTCATCTGAACTTCAATTTCAGCTAACTTATAATCAAATTGAACGTTTCAATGAGACAAAATCAACCGTTAAAATCGGTCCAATCCAAGCTCAAATGAGCTCAAATCAAGGGCTTAAAATATATTTAAAAGCTTCAAATCATTAATTGAAAGGTAAAATAATATCAAAATATTACATGCATAATGTCTAAATTTTGATAATGCATAATGACTAATTTTGCCATCCCTAGAAAATGGTGGCAATAGACCTCCATATTTGAGATGAAACATTGATCTTTATAAATGAAATTAGATGTTGAAATGAATATGATTTTATTTGGGATAACTTTCTTATTGTTTTATAAAATAATTTTTTTTTTGTGTAAAAACTTTTTGTATTAAAAATTTATTTTAGAAAATAGCAAGAAAATCACTTGAAACAAAGTCAAGATCTTATACGATGAACATGGCGTATAGAAGGAATGAAAGAAGAAGGGAGGTGGCTTCATCCATGGTGAATCGAATGAAATTTTCGCAGCCATATAATTATTATTCATCAAAAAGATGAACTAGTTATTATACTAAAGAGGCGAGGACGTAGTAGATGGGATTTCAACCCGGGATGGCGGTTCCCAATAATGCTCGCCCACCACCAGCCTAAGCCTCGGTGGGTCCTTTAAAAGGTTTTGATATATGCTGCCAGTTGAAACAATATTATCATGTAAAAATTTGAAGTTATGAGTTGGTCCGTAAAACATATTGCTTATCATAAATCAGTGGATGATGCAATTTTGTAGCTTAAGTGATTCCCCTTTACTAGGTTTTAAAATGAAATAAAAAATTAAGACTTTGTTTTGAATGACTTTATTACTGTTTTTTAAAGCAATTTTTTAGTACAAAATTTTTTGTACTAAAAAATTATTTTAAGAAGCAGTAAAACAATCGTCCCGAACGAAGCCTAAATATCTGAGTGAATTGCAAGATCCGTAGCCATTAGATAATATAGCTTCCTTAGCTCCAACAATGAGCTACAAAAACTATAGTGTTAAGGCATCTAATAAGCATAAATAAAAAGAGAGAAAACAACAATAACAACAACAACATCAAGCCTTTATCCCACTACGTGGGGTCGGCTACATGAATCCTTTTTCTCCATTGTGTCCTATTAAAAGTCAAATTCTCATTTAAATCTAATAAAGAAAGGTCATTCCTAATATTTTCTAACCAAGTCTTTTTAGGTCTACCCCTACTTTTCTTAACATAAGTCAAACATAATACCTCTACTTTCCTAACCGGGTCATCGGAAGGCCGCCGTTTTATGTGACCAAACCATCTAAGACAACTCCCTCTAATCTTATCTTCTACTGGAGCTACTCCAACCTTTTCACGTATATGCTCATTTCGTATCCTATCTCTAAGGGTAAAGCCACTCATCCACCTGAGCATCCTCATCTCAGCCACACTTAACTTATTATTATGCTTCTCTTTTAATGGCCAACATTCGGCACCATAAAGCATTGCAGGCCTCACTACCATCTTATAGAATTTTCTCTTAAGTTTGAGGGGTACATTTCTATCACATAACAAGCCCGATGCATTTCTCCACTTCAACTATCCAACTTGAATTCTGCTGATAATATCCCCATCTATTTCACAATCACTCTGAACAAAGAGGAAAAATAGGCTTAAGCTCTCAACCATAGTATCGTAGCAGGCAGCCAAAACTAAAAGAAGAAGAAAAAAATCCAACAAACATCTAAAACTCGACAAACTACAGAACTCAAGCTTGTATTTATCAGTTTTCTTATAAGCTATCTATCTATATATCATGAGAATCACATCAATGAACACAAATTTGCACTGATATGCGTCACCATAAAATTTCTCATAAGCAATGTAACAAAAGAAACCGATCTGAAAACAGGAAGACTTATTTCTGGGAAAGCTACAGGATAATTCACTTCACCAGATAGCCAAAAATCGTAACCAGAAGCATATAAAGATAACTTGGAAATACAAAGGCAGAGGTAACATTAAGTGAAGACGAAGGGTTCTTGTGCTTGATTTAGTCCTTGTATTTCATTTCAGAAGTTTGGAAGCCGGGCATGTCGAAAGAAGCGGAAAACTTCTCTACAGTAGCCTTGAGGTTCTCAATATCCTTGTTGTTGGCTAAGCCCTTATTGAAGTCCTTGAGGAGCTTACCATGTTCCTTCTGGATGGTCAGGGTGATGGTCACTGCTTGGTGGAGAAACTCTGCAATTTGTTCAAAATCCTTCTCGACCAAACCCCTGGAGGTCATGGCGGGAGCTCCTGTGAAATATGATAACAATTGACTTTAAAAGAACTAAAAATCCCTGAAAGAAGCTTCTAATTAACACTACTAGAATTGTAAACGAGGGAACCGTAATCATAGCTTTTCAATGCATTTTATGGCTTCATTTGGGACAGCTTTCATACTGTTTCTTAAAGCAGCTTTTTAGTATAAAAATTTTAATTTTTGTACTAAAAAAGGCTGCTTTAAAAAGCAGTAGGAAAGCCATCCCAAACAAAGCAAATATGTGACCTGTTTTTTCTCCTTGCTTTTAACTTGATTTGAACAAGCCAGATGAGAGAAGTAGAATGATTCACTAATAATTAACATTTTCACAGCATGAAAAGTACGCAGGCAGTAGTGTTTTCAGCAGATTATTGAAGAAAATTTTTTTGTTTCAGGATATCCTAATCAAAAAATTCAAGAAGGAAAATGCAATACATTGGTAATTGATATTGCACTAATTTCACAGGTACTATAAATTTTTTCCATAATTGAAAACAAATGACATTCTTTTCCAAAAAAAAAAAAATTGTAACTTTAACAATTAAATACTAAATATTCGATGACAAAAAAGAACAGGACACAACATAATTTAGAACAAAAAATCACATAAGAATATATTTCATACCAATCCGGACACCGCCAGGAGCCAAAGCACTGCTGTCACCAAAGACGGCATTTTTGTTGAGTGTGATGTTGCAAAGATCACAAACCTTCTCTACCTTGTTTCCTATATACAGCAAGGAACGAATATGAAAAACAATTCAGAGAAAAAAGAGTATAAAAAATAGCCAGCTGATCAATCTGTCAAAACATTAAGAAATTATTGGGTTCGGACATTAGACAGAGAGAATCATCCGAATTTTTCTCTGTCTACAATAAAAGTACAGTCAAAGCGCAGGTACTGTAGCAGTTGCACTTTGACTGCGCTTTTACTGTAAACAGAGAGAAATCCGGATGATTCTCTCTGTCCGGAATCCGCACCTAATAATTTGTCCAAAACATGGACAGCCAATATTACCAGTCAAGCCAAGAGGGCGAAGATCCCAGAGGACAAGGTGATTTTCTGTTCCATTGGTCACAATATTGTATCCCTTGTTTATCAAATAGTTTCCAAGGGCAGCAGCATTTGCCTTAACCTGCTTAGCATAAGTCTTGAATCCCGGTGACAAGGCCTGTTTCAACGCAACAGCCAATGCAGCTATCTGGTGATTATGAGGACCTCCTTGAAGGGAAGGAAAAACAGCAAAGTTGATCTTGTCTTCAAATTCATAAACTGCATTCTCAGGCTGTCCCTTCCTGGGTGGCTTTGGGCCCTTCCTGTAGAAGATCATACCAGCTCTTGGACCCCGAAGGCTCTTGTGGGTTGTGGTTGTGACAATATCACAGTGCTCAAATGGACTATTAGCTTCCTGAATTAAAGATGACAATGGAGGATTAGACACCTGAGATATGCTACGACTATTCAAATATGGATCCAGTTTTGCTACGAAACCAGAAACATGCTTGAAAATCCTATCAAACTCGCCAAGCATAATGCAGCATTGCACGATCCACTAGATTCAATTTCAACGCAAGACCTTCTGTAATTTTCTCTATAGGCTAGAAATTTAATGCTCAACTTTTGCATTGTCTTGTTGAAACCAGCATGCACTACCCTTTTTGAATCTGTAATCGGTTTTGGATCTTCAATAAGGATGAAGTCCAATGAAATGGACCACAAATATATTACATTTAAAAGAATCAGGAATAAATTCCTAGATCCAATGTTGCTTTACGTAGAAGAAGTCGTATTAAAGAAGGTCTACTAATTAATAATGGTAGATCTACTTTAGTTCGAACCGAAGGAACCAAACAAGATCAAACTTTCTAAAAACAAAACAAATATAATTTTCTAATCAATAAAACGCAAATTCGAATCACAGATTTACTAAACCGTTTATAAGACTCAATAACCGAAAGCTTCATTTGCCCACACACCAAGATCCAAGCAGATTCACAACACCAAATCCAAACAAATAAACAAACAAAAGCTACACGATAAACAATACTTAAAAAGCAGCACAACCAATGAATCGAACATATAAACTGTACCTGTGCAGCAACAAGGCCGCTGATGTGCGCCATGTCGCAAAGCAGCAGCGCGCCGACCTTGTCAGCAATGGATCTGAATCGCCCATAATCCCAATCCCTCGGATACGCGCTCCCGCCACAAATTATGAGCTTGGGGCGGAAATCCAAGGCCTTCTCCTCGAGCTTTTCATAATCCAAGTATCCCGTCGTGGAATTCACCTTATAAGGCAAGCTCTCGAAGTAAATCGAAGTGGCAGAGATCTTCTTCCCACCGGATGTGTAGTATCCATGAGTGAGATGGCCGCCCGAGGGCAGATCGAGACCCATGATCCGATCATGTGGGTTAAGGAGCGCAGTGTAGGCGGCGAAATTAGCCGGACTACCTGAGTAGGGCTGGACGTTGACGCCCCATTTCTCGGGCTCGAGATGGAAGGCTTCGAGAGCGCGGGATCGGCAAAGGTTCTCGATCTCGTCAATGAACTCGTTGCCGCCATAGTAGCGGTTGCCAGGCATGCCCTCGGAATATTTGTTGGTGAGGGCACTGCCGAGGGCTTCGATGACGGCGAATGAAGTGAAGTTTTCAGACGCAATGAGCTCGATCCCGCGGCACTGGCGGCGCTTCTCCTTCTCGATGAGGTCGTGGATCTCTGGATCGACGGAGGCGAGAGGGGTAAGGCCCCATGAAGCGACAGAGTCCATGGAGGTATCGGTGGAGGGCGGAGACAGGGGGATGAGTGTGGGTGAGGAGAGGAGGGTAGAGGCTGGGATAGGTTGGAGACGCAGAACATTGTGTGCCGGTGGAGGAAGGGTTTTATAAGCGGCGGAAGCGGAGGGGACCTCGATCGCAGGTTGATTTGGTTGTTCCAACCACTGTGCTCGTAATTTCATCGTTGTAATTTATTTTGAATGTTCAGATTCAGAAATATTAAATTTAGTTTCAATTGTTTAAAATAAGGGAGTATCAAAATAAATTTTTTTCTCTTTATGATTTTGTAAAATAATTTCTTAATATTTAAAAATCTTAATTTAATCTTTTAAATAGGGAACTAAATAATTTTACAACTGCTAAAAAAATGTTTATGAGAATATTTTAATTAAATTTTTGTAAAGAGATTTAAAATAGTTGAATTTATTTTAAGTTTAATATAATCTATATACAAGTTAAATAAATTTATATTATATTAATTTTAAGATATATTTAATAATTGAGAAATTTGTAATATTTATTAACCAAATAATATGGTGAGTTATTGTTTATGCGTACATAAATAAATTGGGCTCATAATACCTCATGTGATGTGTTCATATTATATGGGGCGATCAACATCACCTAATTATAAATGATTAAGGAGAGTTTTAAGGAGTATAATGAAGCTATTAATTCTTAATAAGGAAGTGGTTGGGAATAAATTTTACGAGCATAACAATAAAGATTATTTTGTGCGGTCACCGAATGATTCAAAGACGAATTAGAACGGGTAACGTCACCCGGAATCAAGCGGTACAAAGCAAAAAAAAAAGATACGACGCGTTCTCATTCTCCTCTGGACAGCATTTGATGACCTCATAAAATAATTTTTCCATAACAAACCAACATATGAGCCATTTTGGACATGCGCCAAGCAAAATGCACAAAAAGATGGCATTTTCTTTGTTGAGAGAAAAAAAAGATTTTTTTTAGCGTGAGGATTAGGAAGAGGTGGAGAGAGAGAGAGAGAGAAGAAAAGGAGACAAATGAGATTCTTTTAGAGTTTTTTTAAATATTTTTTATTATATCATAGTTTTATTTTTAATCTAATATTTAATTAACGATGTGGCAATTTTATTTATATATGTGTGCTTAAATTTAAAATTAAAAATTTAACATAACTTCTTTTTTTATTACAAGTAAATATCATTATTTAATTATTATAGATACATCTCTCTATGCATAAATTTATATTAAAATTTTTAAAGTTAAATTCAAAATTATTAGAACTACATTTTTCAGCAAATTTATGACAGAATCAAACGTCTTAACAAGATGAAACAATGACATCAAATTAATATAATCTAAGGCTAAATAAACATAAAACAAACAATTGAGAGAATAATTGAAGGATGAATGGTCTTTGAAACTTGCATGCTGACAATCAAATAGAGTGTCTCGATAAGATAAAACCAATTAGCCTAATATCATTCAATTTTGAGGTTATTAAGATGCTTATATGCTTAACAAAGTTGATGATGAAAATAATCAATAGAGACTATCTGATGTGGGTTATAGAATTTTAGCAATATATGTGAAAATGCCACTCTCATTATTACAAATGAACTCTTATTCTTCACATGAGGGGAATTTTCCTTGAGTTTAGAGAGTGCTTGAAAATTTGAAGAATTTTTTAGCTTCACTTGACATTCGACATTCGACAACAATAATCATTGTTAGCCACTACTGTCATCCAAGGCATCTGGCATCACCTGGCTAGAGTCGTTTGATTATTGTGGACAAATAAAATATTGAATGTACCACTGATTTGATGTTTAATGTTTCTTTAGACAAATCTACATAATTAGTATTAATTATATTGAAGGACAAACCAACACATGCATTATCAATTTAAGAAAGAACTGGTTTATTTTCGTATTTATACTCAGCACAGTAAATGTAACAATTATCTCGAAGAATAAAAATTATATTCATCTGTCATTTTGAATACGAAATTAATCTAGGATTAACTTGATCAACGTCCTGATATTTTTCCCACTCTTAGCAAACTAAGATACTATCTATTTTATACTGAGATCAGTTCTTATAGGGGAAAGTCCCAACAATCTTATCTATATGAAGAGAAATTTTCGATTAAAGTGAAGATTAGATTATAAGCATATATATAATATATAAGAGTTGCCTTATATGTTTGAAAATACCAATTGTCCCTTTAAAAATATAATTAAATTTTATAGAAAATATATTTGAATTTTGCGTATGTATACATTTATTATTTATTAAGAATATGAGGTGTGCATATATGACTGAGCTTATGCCTGCTTGGAATTAGCAAGCTAACAACCTAATATACAAGCAATCATCCTTGATGTAATAAATGATAAAGCTAGCTTTGTCCTAAGAGATCAAAGGAATAGATCAGACTTCAAATTAGTGACTCAAGATGATTAATTTTTATTTTATGTTCAAGTGACACTAATGAGATGACTCACTAAGAACTCTACATTTTATATTATTTAACTGATCTAACTAAATTTTGTAACCACAAAAAAATTTCTTAAAAATTTTGGCAGCAAGGTGGCCTTATACTAACAGGAATAGCGTAGCATCCTCCAAGCGCAAGAGGACCCCACTAACTTGCCGTAAGCTTGTGTGCTGGGCTAGTGTAGGTTGTAGAAATAAAATACATGTATGTATGCATGATCGGGTAGATGTGTTTGTGTATACGTATAATACCCAGTATTGTATCGTTATAGAACTAGCATACATGTCCTTACAAAGTCTGGAACAAGTACACTGATGAAAACCTAAAAAAAGTTGCTACCTATTAATGCAATATATCACCATATGATGCAATGCATGTATGCAATGTAATAAATAAAAAAGTGTTGAATTATTTATTGATTGATTGAAAGACTTACAACAAACTCTGACTCTGAGAAGAAAGGTGGTCAGGCTCCACCATAACAAACTTGGGTTCTAAGTGCTTAATGTCTTAGAGCTCTGGGTGTTCTGTGGAATTCCAAAAGAGATTGTCCTCTAAAAAAGTAGACATCATCTTTTGGAGCCTCACTTGCATTTATATGCAGCTGCATTTGACTCTTTTACAACTCATGATGATGTACAAATCGTTCTATATACAAATCTACTTTTACAAACACTTGTACTTGTTCATAAAAAAGAGTAGGAGATAATAGATTTGTTTATGTATGAAATATTAAATAATAAAAAACACGAGGCATTATGTAGCTGCAATGATCCATTATAGATTAGAGATTTAAGAATTCTCTTTTTCTCGCTGTTGAAGATGATAAGATTATTTATAATTTAGAACTATGAACTGATTCCCGTTGTAGGAATTATGGAATTCAAATGTCCATAAGTGGATAATTAAAAAACTGACAAATTGGTTATATTTTGACAGAAGTTTGGAGATGGTGGGTCGATTGTTAGTGGTGGTCGTTGACGTTAATATCCGGAAAATATAAGAGTGCTCTTTAATTCTCTCAGCTTTTGAACCTCTCAATCTGTAAAGAATGAAATAATATTTATATCATTTTTGGGGAGATTACTTTGGTAAAATTTTCAAGAATCTAAAGTAATAATCTATCTACGGTCCATATTAATCTCTTTAATTGTAGAACATTTATTAAACATTTGAATGTTTTAACAATGTCGGAATCAAGTGATCCTAGGCTCTTTTAATTCAACTCGTTAATCCACTCAATTTGACTATATGCATTCTATAATCAAAAGTCACTTGATCCATCAATTTATGTTCATAAATTTTCAAATATAATTCAAGTGTCAGATTTTGGTTTATTTATAATTGGATTGCATCATTTGCATCATCAACAGGTTTATGTCATCGAGATGTTCAATTTAACTATGAGTTTACTGAAATCTTAATTTAGATGATCCTAAATTTAATTCCAAGTTTCTAAATCAAATATTACTTCAAAATTCCTGCATATCATGTGAATTTCTAGAGTTGCATCAATTAGTTTGCTAAAAGTACAATATTTGAGTGTAAAATGTAAATGATTAGGTGCGGAGTGTAGACAGGGAGAACCGTCCGCACAAGTCTTATTCCGCGCTAGGTACCAGCACTCGGTACCACTGGGTACCGCTAGGTACCCATGTTTGTGCGTACGGTGCACACTCTGCACCTAATAATTTTTCGTGGGATAGGCTTGTCCTATGAAGCTTTTGTTCAGGGTTTAATGCTATAGGAAAAGTTATATTTAAACTTTATAAAATAAAACAATACATATCAAGGCTTTAATAGTTTAATGCTATAAAAATATGAAGATTGTAGATAAAATACAAAATTGGTACAAATTGATTATAGACTGAAGGCACTACTAGATAAATTTGTTGATTTGGTCGAATGAAGTTACATAACTTAGATTTCGTTTTGGACAATTTTTTAATAGCTTTTTGAAGTATCTTTCTAGTTAAAAATTTTCAAAAAAAAAGTTATATAAAAAAGTTGTTTTATAAAGCAATAAGAAAACTGTCTCAGCCAAAGCCTTATTCGATAGAATGAATGCAACGAAGAACTTCTAAGCCCGATAAATAGGCTTTGTTTTGGCTTGGACCAATTATACATACTATAAGGCAAGTTTGTGATAACCTTAGTAAATTCAATATCGATTAGGCGAATTTAAATCGGCTTTGGCTAGTCAATATGGGATGCCATGAATTCGCGTCAAATTCAAGAAATTTACACGTTAACCGAGTTCATTAGCAAATTCATGATGGGATTTTTTTTTTAGGAGCACAATGTTTAATTTAAATTAGAAATAGGAGCAGAGTATTAAAAATTTTTAAAAAAGAAGCAAACCAGCCAAACATAATGGCACATTCTATTGAGTGCACCAAACTATTTGGCGTATTTAGAATAAGTCAAACAGTTTGGCGCATTACAATAATTTTAGAATTTAGTCCGGCTAGCTGGGGTGATTTGGTGCATTCTTTAGAATGCATCGTTCTATTTGTGTAGTTTGCTTCTTTTTAAATTTTTTTAATGCTCGGCTCCTATTTCTAATTTAAATTAACCACCATGCACCTTCTTAAAAAAAATCCTTCGTTATGAAACTAACAAGTTCATGTTGGGTCATCTATTTGACCTGTTTAGCTTAT